ATAAAGCTATAGTAATCAAAATAGTGCAGACTGCAGTGAGGTGTGGTTGCACCAGCGCACCCCAGCTGGGGTGACAGAGTAAGACCCTGTCTCAAAACAAAACAAAAAACAAAGAAAAATAAATTTTTAAAAAAGGGCTGGGTGCAGGTCAGGCGCGGTGGCTCGTGCCTGTAATTCCAGCACTTTGGGAGGCCAACGCAGGTGGATCACCCGAGGTCAGGAGTTCAAGACCAGCCTGGCCAACACTGCGAAACCCTGTCTCTACTAAAAAAAAAAAAAAAATTAGCTGTGCGTGGTAGCAGGCACCTATGATCCCAGCTACTCGTGAGGCTGAGGCAGGAGAACTGCTTGAACCTGGGAGGCAGAGGTTGCAGTGAGCGGAGATCACGCCATTGCACTCCAGCCTGGGTGACAGAGTGAAACTGTCTCAAAAAAAAAAAACAGGCCTGGGTGTGGTGGCTCATGTCTGTAATCCCAGCACTTTGGGAGGCTGAGGTGGGCAGACTGCTCGAGCCCAGGAGTTTGAGACCAGCCTGGGCAACATGGCAGAACCCCATCTCTACAAAAAAAAAGAAATATTAGCTGGGTGTGGTGGCGCATGCCTGTAATTCCAGGCACTCGGGAGGTTGAGGTGGGAGGATTACCTGAGCCAGGGGAAGTCAAGGCTGTAGTGAGCCATGATCGCACCATTGCACTCCGGCCTGGGTGACAGAGTGAGACCCTGCCTCAAAAAAAAAAAAAGTTTTAAACCAGTGTGGTATTAGCATAAGAGTAGACACATATCAATGGACTATAATTAAGAGTCCAAAAATAAACCCTTACGTATACAGTCAATTGATTTTGATGAGGGTGGCAAGACGATTCAAAGATGACAAGATAGTTGTGTGTGTGTGTGTGTGTGTGTGTGTGTGTGTGTGTGTGTTTTAAAGAAACAGTGCTGGGACAACTAGGGATCCAAATGTGAAAGAATGAAGTTGGACATCTACCTCACACCAGACACAAAAATTAACTCAAAATGGATCAGAGACCTAAATGTAAGAGCTAAAACTATAAAACTTTTAAAAGAAAACATAGGAGTCATACTTCATGACCTTGGTTTGGGCTAAGAGTTCACAGATACACCAAAAGCACGATCCATAAAAGAAATAATTGATAAAACCTCTAATAAGGGTCTTGCTTCCAGAATGTATACTCTTACACAGCTTCGTAGTAAGAACACAGCCCAATTTTAAATGGGCAAAAGATTTGAATAGACATTTCACCAAAGTAGACTATGAATGACTAATCAGCACATGAAAAGATGCTCAACGTTATTAGCCACTAGGGAAATGCAAACTAAAAGCACACTCAGGTATCAGTTCATACTAGAACGCCTACAATAAAAAGACAGATGATACCAAGTATTGGCAAGGATGTGAAGATACTGGACCTCTCAGTGCTAGTGGAAATGTAAAATGGTGCAGCCATTTTGGAATTATTTTGACAGTTTCTTAAGAAATTAAAGGTATATTTACCAGCCAGGCATGGTGGCTCACACCTATAATCCCAGCACTTTGGGAGGCTGAGGCAGGCGGACCACTTGAGCTCAGGAGTTTGAGACCAGCCTGGCCAACATGGTGAAATCCTGTCCCTACTTAAAAAAAAAAAAAAAAAAAATTAGCTGGTCGTGGTGGCACATGCCTATAGTCCCAGGTACTCGGGAGGCTGAGGCAGGAGAATCACTCAAACCTGGAAGGTGGAGGTTGCAGTGAGCCAAGATCATGCCACTGTACTCCAGCCTGGGCTACAGGGCGAGACTCTGTCAGAAAAGAGAAGAGAAGAGAGAGAGAGAAGAGAGAAAAGAGAAGAAAAGAAAAAAGAGAAAAGAAAAGAAAAGAGAAAAGAAAGAAGAAAAATGTGCCCACTTCACTGCTAAATGAAGCTGAATTCAATACATCATCAAGCACAATTTTATCTTTGTTATTATTTTTAATTTTTCCATCTCTCTTTCTGGGTAAAAGTACAATTTTAGAAATATCAAATAACTCCTTGAAAAGAGATCTCAAAGCATCTTTGTTTTCACATATTCATAAATCATTTCAAACATCTGGCTACATGTTCAGGGTGTGGCATCTAATTCATATCCCTTATTTACAAGACTTCACTGTTCACTAACCGTGACTATGTATGTATGTATTGTATGTATGTGTGTGTGTGTGCGCGCGCGCGCTAAAATCTTTCCAAAATGATCACAAACCCACAATTCCATCAGATTCTCCCTCGGAATCTCTGGGGTCATATGATCCAGGTGTCTGATTCCAGGGTTACCCCAATCCACATGGAGGGGACAATTGAGCAAATTCTCCTTAGAAGCTACCCAAGTTACTTTGACATTCTGTTTTAATGTTTAATCACCATTAGTTGCAAGATGTCCATTCTGCTGATCCAAACCATTTTTCTGTTTACCCTACTTCCATCCCATCTGGAGTGGAAACAGTAAATGTCTCTTTACTTTCAGAAAGAGGATAGCATTTGAAGATGACTACTAATGGTACCTCTCAAGGCTTAGTTCCCTTTAGCTTTTCCTCTTAGGGGCGATTTTCCACTCATCACGTCACCTAGGATCCTTTTATTCTTCTGAGTGCTCTAAATTTTCGCATCTTGCCAAGCATAATGACCAATACTGGGCACCAAATTCTAACATAATGCCAAATATAGCAAAGAGATTAGCTGCCAAATCCTTTACAGGGGTCCCCAACCCCCGGGGCCATGGACCAGTACCAGTCAGTGGCCTGTTAGGAACCAGGCCACATAGCAGAGGTGAGCGGTGGGTGAGCGCGCATTATTGCCTGAACTCCATCTCCTGTCAGATCATTGGTGGCATTAGATTCTTACAGGAGTGCAAACCCTATGGTGAACTGCGCATGCAAGGGGTCTAGGCTGCGTGCTCCTTACGGGAATCTAATGCCTGATGATCTGAGGTCAAACAGTTTCATCCTGAAACCATCCCCCACCTCTGGTCTGTGGAAAAATTGTCTTCCATGAAACCAGTCCCTGGTAATGAAAATGTTGGGGACCACTGCTTTAGAGTAAGTTTATTCCTAAAAAACAAACAAATACCTAGGAAGAACAGTGCCGAGGTATGCTTGGAATTACTAAGAATGTTAAGGAATTCCTGGGTGTTTTGGAAGAGGGAGAATGCACCAGAAGGGAGGTATGTAGTGGAATTGTAACAGCATGACACCAAGTCTCCTGAAGGAGAGAATATTTCTGAGTGCTGATGCATCCAACAGTGAGGAATGGAGAAAGAAAACGAGTTGTCTTCCTTGCTCCTTGCCTCAACGTAACTCTTGCTGTTTTAAGGAATCAGCATTTCATAGCCATTTCTTGCATTAAATCCAGGATACATCTTTTTGCTTGTATAACAAATATGGAAGCACAGATGTTGAGGGCTGGAACGTATCAATGAGCAAAACAGCATAGTTCAACATTTCTCATTTTATTGCTGAGGATCCTGAGGCCTAGGCAGGGGTGGAACAACTAACTGCCCAGTGTTACTTAGAGACAGGGCTGCAGCTATAACTGTACCTCCTGGGCCTCAGGCCCAATGTCCTTCAACTTCTTCCTCATTTCTCCACAAAGTAGGTAATTTTAAAAATCAAGGCCTAGTGTGGTGGCTCACACCTGTAATCCCAGCACTTTAGGAGGCCAAGGCGGGCAGATCACTTGAGGTAGGAGTTCGAGACCAGCCTGGCCAACATGGGGAAACCCTGTCGCTACTAAAAATACAAAAATTAGCCAGGCGTGGTGGTAGGTGTCTGTAATCCCAGCTACTCAGGAGGCTGAGACAGGAGAAGTGCTTGAACCCGGGAGGCAGAGGTTGCAGTGAGCCAAGATCATGACACTGCACTCCAGCCTGGCCGACAGAGCAAGACCCTGTCTCAGTCTCAAAAAAAAAAAAAAAAAAAAAAGTCATGCCTGATCCCATTTCTTTTCCAAAAGGAATCTAAAACCACCCGATGCCTTATCTTACAGGCCTGCTTGTAAAATTCATGCTCCAATAGTAATTATGTGCACTACACCACTTGCTATGTTTCTAAAACTTCTATCGCAGGTGGGGTGCTCTGTCAGTGTCCTGGGGAAGCCTGGGCCCCCAAGCTGCAGGTTGGGGACTTCTGCAGAGGGTGCCCAGGGGACAGCTTTGCCTCCTGGGCCCTTTTTTCCCTCTCCTAGGAACTCCAACTGGAATAGGAAGAGAGTCTGCAGGCCTGTTCCCTCTAGAAGGGCTAGCAGGAAGGAGACTAAGGCTCTAAGGAGAGGGACCAAGGGCCTGTCCTGACTCTAGGTCATGGTTTCTCAAACCACAATGCCATAGGTCTGGAGGGATGGGCAGCTTGGGGTGCATTCAAGGGTACAGGATAACCTTGGCAACATTTCCAAGGCCAAGATCCTTTTAAAACATTTTTAGGGTGGTGATTTTATTATACTATTCAAACCAACGTGGCAATAAAACTATGTAATTTCAGAACTTTTAAGCCAAATCAGGAGACTTCAGTACATAAATGGGACAGAAGGAAGTAGAATTCCATCCCACTTCTTTTCCATTTGTGGCAAGAAACTTGTGCCCCATATTAACTGGCATACAAGTTCACGTTCCTGCATCGTTAGGGAAACTCTGATTGGGAAGTATGGGAGGTACTGACTCCAGCAAAAAGAATGAAACATCGACCCAGCTCAGAAGAAGTCACCCAGAAGGTTCCAGCTCAAAGTCCCAGCAGGTAATGAAGAACATACACTTTCTTGCCTGGCCTTGCCTTCTGGCCCACACCCTCAATGGCTGAGTGGGGCCTGGGGCTGGCAGGCTGAGGCACAGGGAGATTTCTAGCTGTCCTCCTTAGAAACACAACCCACAGGCATGATTAGAAGTCATCTTGCTACCTGGATGATTTTCAGGCAAGCATTTTACAAACTGACATTTACATTTAATTTCAGAATTAAAATTCTGAAAATGTAATACTTACTGTGTTTTTTTGAGTTACCATGTCCTGAGAAGAAAAAGAAAAAATGAATATAGCTTTTTTTCAAAACAGCTAATTTCCATAAGCATTAGCCAGTACTCCCCTCTATAAAAGAAATTAACCATGTAAGAATTAATCACATAAAAGCACCCACCTTAGAGCAAGAATTAATCATGTAAAACCTCCCTCTCCAAAAGCTTCAAACACAATGAACCTCTGAATTGCAACATTCATATTCCAGAGAAAATTGATCACCACTGGTTAGCCTTTGGAACTATTAGAGGGCATGTATGCTTATAAGGATTTCCCCAGAACAGTGCCAATGCTTTTGCCCAAAAGATATTTTGAGCTTCAGGTTTGGGGTGCTGAGTGCCCTCATCTTGCCTTCCCAGAAAAGAATGTCAATGATAGCAAGGAAGGGCCTAGAAGGCACTGTGCTATCCCCAGATCTGGAACCATTTCTTGAATCAATCAGTGTGAAGGCCACACCACGGTCAGCTTTCCTACAGAAAGGGTGTTGGCAGAAGAATTCCTGACACCTCGCTACAACAATCTAGGAATGTTCAAATTCAGTGACAACAATTTTAGTCAGTAAATGTAGCATGATAATTAGGCAGCTCTTGACTGTCTCATTTACGCACCAACACTTCCAGAGGGGGAGAAAACACCATAATCAAACAGCTGCCCTGTAAAACATGTTTTAAATATTCTGAGATTTTTATTTCCTGATAACAAGTGCAAACTGCTGCTTCTGGTGTTAGATATAACTGACTACCCATTTCCATTTTAGGAAATAATTTTCTGTATCATTAAAAATTAAAACATCTAGTCCATAAAACTTTCCAGAGGGCTTTGCTAAGGCACAGTTGAAGAAACTGTCCTAAATTGGAAAAAAAAAATTCTAATTTCACGTTTTTCATCAAAATATAGGTTAATAATCTATATCTTTCATACTTGCTAAGTTCTAAATATTCCTAAGCCTAACTACCTTCGTGAAAATCAGTAAAAGAAAAGGTCAGTATCTAAATATCTAATGTAATTTGCATTGGTTTATCGCCCTGGGGAAACTATTCTATAATGTGAAGTACACTAATAAAAGTCTCTTCTTTCACTGTCATACAAATGACTTATTAAAATAACAGTATTTTGCCATAATTACTGAGTACATATCTATGTAAAGTATATATGATGTTTAGCACATACAAGTTACACATCTCAAGCAGGTGGTATTTCTACCAGGAAATAATCTCAAATCCTTACACAACCCTGAAAACCTAGTTAATATTAAATCTCAAGAAACACAATGAAAATGTCCAACTTTGGCATAAAATTTTACTACTCTCTACCAGTGATTTTTAACACTGAGGGAACTGAACCTTTAGAAATGATGTCTGCGAAGGCTGACTCTCCAAACCATTGGTTCTCACCCATGGTTGCACATTTGGGAGGTTAAAAAAATCTCCATGCCTGGGTCCCACCCCTATCCCTGAGATTATGTGACGTAACTGGTCTGGGGTGAGGCCTAGGCATGGGGATATTTACAAGCTCTCCCAGTAATTCTGAAGTGCACTCAAGGCCAAGAAGCACTGTTATAAACAAACTAATCCATTATTTCTAAAATGATTTAACATAGGCCAGGATTTTCTGACTAAAATATTCAACAATATCAATATCCACTGAATTTCGGAATAACTCATGTTAAACATTTCCACTATACAAATATAAGCATTTTAAAAAAATACTATGTTATCCAAAAAAGCTTGTATCAAACTTGCAAAAATACATTTTAGAAATTCTTAACCATGAATGAGTCATGCAGGAACACACATGTTTACAGTTTTGCTTTGCTTTCAGACTAGGGGAAAATAACATCACAGACTAATTGAGTCTATGCTAAAATATTCTGTCCATTTCAGTAACTGTTCAATGTCTTCATATTATTATCCAAGTTGAGAACTGATTTTTATGTGTAGGTTTGGATCCAACAGCTCACGAAGGAATTCGGAACAGTGTGTTTGCTTCAACTGAAACTAACAGGAGTGTTTGCCTCGACTTCCCTAACGAGCCTGGAAATGCCCAAGTTGCCTGCACACGTATGACTGTAGCACAGATGCTCACAAAGTGGCCAGGAAGTCGTCTGTGTGAACTAGAACCTGTGGTGGGAAGGAAAGAATTGCACAAGCAAGCCTTTGTTTTTCTCCAACTTCCTGTACTACTGTGGCATTTCAGCTAGACATATAATTCTGCTTTCCCAAAACGAAGTACTCAGGAGAATGTGAACAATACCCTGTACCTTCAAAGAGAGAGCAGTGTCGGCATCGGTGTCATGGTACAAGATCACATTATTGGCCATGTCAAAGCTTTCTCGGACTCCAAGATGGTAGAAGAGGGAAGGCTGTCTGGAGACATCACTCATGTCTACCACAGCAACATCTGCAATGAACAAGGAGAGGACAGGATTAGGGGAGATGATCTGTCTACTTCATCTACTCACTGGTGATCACCAGTGGGGAGCTATAGCAATGTGTATTTCTGTCATCAGCCTGTTAGGTAAAATAAGGAATGATTTGATTAAAATTACCCTATGAACTGTGGAAGAAACGCAGTAAGAATCTTTTTGAATCCTCTTTCTTCTTCAAAGTGCTGGGAATGTAACCTCACTTAGAACTTGCTGATGGATTTTTAATGTTATTTTTGTAATGACATATCATACATCCGAAGAATATATTTAGCTTATATATCAGGCATAAAGTATAATGCAATGAAAAACCATGTACCTTCTGTGTAGCCTAAGTCAGAGGGTTACCTGCACTCAGGGTCCCATGTGCCCCTCTCTAATCACATCTCCTCCCTCCTGCCCAGAGAACACTTCTGTCTGGATCTATGTATTTATCAGTTCCACGCACGTGCTATAGAATGAACGTTTGTTTCCCCTCAAGGTTCATATATTGAAACCTAATCCCCAATATGATGGTACCTAAAGATGAGGCCTTTGGGAGGTGATTAGGTTATGAGGATGGAGCCCTCATAAATTGGATTAGAGCCCTTATAAAAGAGACTCTGGAGAGCTGGTTTCCCCTTCATCATTCCAGGACACAGGGAGAAGGTCCCGTCTATGAACTAGAAAGCAGGTCCTCGCCAATGAGTCCGCCACCACCTTGATGTTGGACTCCCTAGTCTTCACAATTATGAGAAATACATTTCTGGCTGGGTGCAGTGGCTCATGCCTGTAATCCCAGCACCTTGGGAGGCCAAGGCAGGTGGACCACCTGAGGTCAGGAGTTCAAGACCAGCCTCTCCAATATGGCGAAACTCTGTCTCTACTAAAAATACAAAAATGAGTTGGGCGTGGTGCCAGGTGCCTGTAATCCCAGCTACTCGGAGGCTAAGGCAGGAGAATTGCTTGTACCCAGGAGGCAGAGGTTGCAGTGAGCTGAGATCGTGCCACTGCACTCCAGCCTGGGCGATAGAGTGAGACTCTGTCTCCAAATAAATAAATTTATGTTGTTTAGAAGCCATGCGCAGGCATTATGTTATAGCAAACAGACTAAGACAATATGTACAGGCATGTATAGGCATTATACGCGCACACACACACACACACACAAATTCCTTAACAGTGTATTGCTCTGTTTTGTATGTCTTTGAACTTCATGTAAACAGTATTGCATTGTACATATATTCTTCGGCTTGCAATTTTTTGGTGGCATTCAACCAATTTGTGCATTTAGCTCCAGTTCATGCATTTTCGCTTCTGTATAGAATTCTGTTGTGTGACAGATTTTTATTCATTTCGTATTTCACACTGCTGCAAAAAACAGTCCTGTCATAGCTCCTGGCTCACATGTCTACCATGAGCTTGACATATAATGTGCCCTGGCCGGGCGCGGTAGCTCATGCCTGTAATCCCAACACTTACAGGCATGGCCGAGATGGGCAGATCGCTTGAGCTCAGGAGTTCGAGACCAGCCTGGACAACATGGTGAAACCCCATCTCTATAAAAAATACAAAAAATTAGCCGAGTGTGGTGGTGCGTGCCTGTAGTCCCAGCTACTCAGGAGGCTAAGGTGGGTGGATGACTTGAGACTGGGAGGTCGAGGTTGCAGTGAGCTGTGATCACGTCACTGCTCTCCAGCCTAAGTAACAGAGTAAGACTCTGTCTCATAAACTAAAAAAAATAAAATAAAATGCACCCTGGAGTTGCACCCTGTAATAGAGACCTATTCTAAACAGAGGAGCAACTTCTTCCATGAATAATGAGCATGTTTACATTATGCCTAGCAGTATGGGGCACCATTTCAAAACTCCAAACATTCTAGAGGATGTAAGAGTTCCAAGCTTGACGGGAGCTTCCTCACCATGTGCAGTGGAGATATAGGAATGCAGTGTCCAAACTCATGCTTGCACTGCTGTGACTCCTAGAAAGTCATTGAAAATCCCAATGGGACAGAACAGAGGCCAGTTGAACGAGGGCGTGAAGAAACATGAAGGCACGCAGCAGTGCATCAGCACCAGACACTGCTGGCTCTGTACGGAGGCGCTGGGAACCTGAGGCCAAGTGCCGCTAAGCCCCAGAGTGGGCCTTTCATTCTCTTATTTATGGATTGCCTGCTGTATGGCAGGATTGTGCTGGGTGCCAGGGACAGAAGTATCAACAGGGCATAATCACCTCCCTCAAAAGAAAAACCCAACTACAATACAATGTGGGTAACCAGAAGAAAGGGGATGGTTAGGATCACCGTGAGGGCAGCCAAAGTGAGGGAACAGTGAACAGAGTACCCCCAGGAGGGTACATAATCCACACCTGAGTGGAGGGCAATCACAGAAGTCCGGGGAAAGGGATATTGTCCATGACCTGAGGCTCTGTAAGAGTTAGGCAGGCAAATGGGATGAGGATGCAGGGGATCAAAGGGAAGGAAAGAGCGGTGCAGGAACAGAAGCCAGCTAGTGCTCCCTGTGTTATTTTAAAATAAATCCCACCAGACACCATACTGTTTTATTCCCCAATATTTCAGGATATATCACTAAAAGATGAGAACTCAAAGAAAAAAATAAAGTATCAATGTCTCACCTAAAAATATTTTTAAATAATCATGAGAGTTTTTAGCAGGAGACTCTCAGAGTCAAATGTACCCGTTAGAGGTCGTCTCCTAACGAAAGGATGCACGTCTGTGCTGAGGAATCACTCTGCAACCCAGCCTGATCAACTTCTCTCAAATGGATAATTCCACTCCCCAAAGACATTTGCTTAGTCAAGATAACCGGCCAGTGCAGCTGAGTAAATCACACATTCTGCCTATAGGATTGCTTCCTGGACTCTTACTTATCTACATTAAAAATTATATGTTTCAGGCCAGGCGCGGTGGCTCACGCCTGTAATCCCAGCACTTTGGGAGGTGGAGGCGGAGGCAGGTGGATCACCTCAGGTCAGTAGTTCGAGACCAGCCTACACACCATGGTGAAACCCCGTCTCTACAAAAAGTACACAAAATTAGCTGGGCGTGGGGTGGGCACCTGTAATCCCAGCTACTCGAGAGGCTGAGGCAGGAGAATCGCTTGAAACTGGGAGGCGGTGGTTGCAGTGAGCCAAGGTTGTGCCACTGTACTCCAGCCTGGGTGACAAGAATGAAACTCTGTCTCAAAAGAAAAAAAAAGTTGTATGTGTCATAGTGATGCTATGAAAAAGTAGCAACATAGACATTAATTCCAAGGCCATGGTGACTGTTAATAATGAGTTAATAAAGGCAAGGAAGCAAATAGAAACAGACAAAGGGGAGTAGCGGAAAGGGGCAGAAGGGAGGATAGGGACAGTAGTCCTGAAGTCATGCAGCCCATTTTCACAGGCAACCTTGAACATGGCAGAGGAACTTGTGGCCAAGAAGATTCCATTTTGATCAAGCGACATGAGTTCCTTCCTTCCTTTACCTTCTCAACATTCTGTGCTGGGACGCACTGGCCTACCGATGATTGGGAGAGACTTTTCACTGTCAATGAAAAGAGGACATATTAATACTGCTACTCAAAACAAACCAAATTCTGAGCAATTCATGTTCAATAGGAAAACTGCCTCGAATCTAAAGTTGAAATTTTTGCCTGACATTTGTCACTCAGGCCAGTAGACTAAGTTCACTTTGAGGATTTATACCAAAACCGTAGGCAACTGGCTTATTTTCGGAATTTCTAAAACATGAATTTAGCATCTGATTTATAAATGTGAATTGTAATAAAACACCAGATTGGAACTTTTATTCCATACAAAGAGAAAAGGGCTTTATCCCTAAAGAGAGCACCAGTTACCTAAAACCTTTCATCACCACCATGGTCACATGCTTTGCCATTTACAAAACACTTCCACAGACGTCTCAGTTGAATTTCAGAACCCCAGCAGGCAGGGCAAGTACTGGCTTCACTTCCCAGGTAGAAAAATGAAGTGCAAAGAGGTTAACAGACTCGTCCAAGGTGGCTCAAGTACAGCATGAAGAAGTCAGGACTCAAAATCAGCTTTCCCAACCCCAAGTTCTGTGTTCCCCGATGCCCTGATGAGGCTTAGTACATTCCTGACACAGTGTGTAAAACTCAGCTACCTGGGGGCAAAACAAATTTATCTATCAGGCTAAATCTTAAGCAAAAAGATCACAGATAAAAAGGAAGAGATAAAATTCAGATTTTCATTCCCAAATACACCCTGTGCTCCTAGCAACCATTACCTTCCAGTTCCTACTGACGCAGGCCAGCTTCAGGGAAAAAGCACGTATCGTACAAACCATCTTTTCTGACCCTGAGGCAGGCACACGCACCCATCCTACCTATCTTGGTTTAGCAAACTTTAAGAAGTGATACCAGGCATGGTGGCGTGTGCCTAAAGTCCCAGATACTCTGGAGGCTGAGGCAGGAGGAGCACTTGACCCTAGGAGTTCAAGTCCAGTCTGGGCAACAGAATGAGACTCTGTCTTTTTAAGAGAGAGAGAGAGGAGGAAGAGAGAGATACTACATCAAAGATTGCAAAAAGCCAAGGTTCCAGTTGAAATATATGCTTAGCAGTAAAGTGTAATTTAAAAACCAGTCACAATGACCTCAAGCATGAGGTTAATTACAAGGACCCTGAAACACGCTAGTATGAAATAAGAAAGATGATGCATAGGACTTTAGTTCGTTGAAAACTTTTGAATACTATCTTGAATACTATTTTTGCTAAATGTTTTATGGGTAATACATAAAACTAATTTTCTAGTGTGGTTTAAAAGTATCTGATTTCTGAAGCAAAGCATTACTCAACAAAGTGATATGACGGCAAATGATTTACCATATAGTACTTCTGTGACTGTGCTGGCTCATGCCAGTCTTTAAATATACACCATGTTATCCTTAAGCCTATCTAACTCCCTGCAGAAAAAAAGAAATTATGAAAGTAAGTAAGACTGGTTTTGTCTAAATGAAAAGTGCTAGA